CCGCTGTGCAGAAGAACGTGTTCCACCTTTCTCCTCGTGTTCGCGATGGCGACTTCGGCGGATGGCGCAGGTATTGTAAATTTGCATTGTTACGAACATGTAAGCACTATTAAAACATGACATTTCGTTAAGGGTATAAAGTACTGTTTTCTTGTCAGGTTTCAAGCTGCTCGAGGTGATTCCCCTCAGGGAGGGGAACTTTGATTCTTCTGTGTCCCCACCTAGGAGGGGGAAAATAAGAACTTTGACAGGGTCCTTTACAAAGTCCCCACCCTTGCCCGGGGTCCCCCCCCAGGGGATGGCCGATGATAGGTGCATTACTCGAAGGACTTGATTCTGCACGCTGAAAGAGTGAGAGCCAGAAAATCAGCTTAAGTGGATACAAACAAAGACATAGACATAAAAATATCAGTTCATCTTTTCAAGAAAAAGATTAAGAATTCAGAGTGAGAGATCCTAAAATCAGAGAATCTTGAAATAAGTTAAATCCATCTTGTGCAAATGCAGTATTCGAACTGTAACCTTCTCTATCTCTCGGCGCCAAAATTTGATCACGTGACTTTAGTTGCGAAACCGCTGAGACTCAACAAGACTCGGGAGAAGAGGCGAACCATTCATGCGTCAAATTCTCTGGTGGGAAAATTAATTATCGTACCGACGAAGAACTCGTGTCATCGAAAAAAGAAAATTATTTTTATATTTTCTTTTTTCTTCAAAAATTGCACCTCGTTGGGGCCAAATTGGTCAATCCTACTTGGCTCTTGGAAGGGCCAAATTGAGAAAAAGTTCCAAAGTAGAATTCATATTGGCCAATTCAGATTTTGGAGGGGTCGAAATGGTACCTGTCCCGCCCGTTTTGGCTCAAATAGTCCAAAACGAACCTTGATGGGCCAAACTGGCCCTCGAGAAATTGGGGCCAATTTGGCTTTTAGGGTCAATTTGGCTCTTTTCATTTTACAGTGTACTCTTTCTGCATATAAACCCACACACAACCCACAATTCCTCCAATCGCTCTGACGAAGGGTTAACGCTCGAAACGTCAGCTTTTTTTCCCTTTACGGTGGCTAGTTTACGTTTTCAACTCAGTTGTTAACACTAAATTACCTGCTATACTCTCCCACCGACGCAGCACCTCAGTTTCTTTAGAAAATTACCCCTTTAACCTTTAAAAAGCCATTGCTTGGACCTTTATTATTTATCCGTAGTTGTGGAACTTTTCCTATTTCATAAAAATAAAACAGAGTATTTAAGGTGAACTCCAAATCACTCTGAGCATGGACATAACGGATCAATATTTGTTCCTGGGGAACTGAGCTCGACGTGTTTCCGAGGAATAAATATTAATCAGTAACTGTCTCCTTGATGACAAAATGCAATAATTCCATCATGCCTTGCGATCGCCAGGCATCATTGCTGTCTGATCGAGCACAACATCGGCCATGACGGAAGTACTTCTAGTTGCGACACAGCTCGATTCTCTCAAACATCTCAGTTCTGAAAAATCCGTTTCCCGGTGAACTAAGCTGCAAAAGGTTATAGTGAAAACCGATCGACCGGAGAGCTTTTTCAGCCTTTTTCAAATAGACGATTTGTGAATGAAACATAAACCACCACCAGAGAAAATGGTAAGTTACAAATTTACTTAAGGATAAGGAAATGGCATGATAACTTCTTGCATTGTTTACGTAGTATCATTTCACATCCGTATTTTAAAACTATGGAGAAAAAAACCTCATTGACGAAAACAGGAAAATACACAGACGTGTTTGACATTCGATCAGCATTTCCTTTGCGTTATTAAACATGAATCACTGAGAACATTTCTCTAGCGATGGACGCTCAGATCTTCATTTGCCATTCAAAATATTTAAAATGTGATTGCTGATTGTTACTAAGCGTCTGATCTTTCGACAATTTTTATTTTCTTATTTAAACGAACTTGATGATAACGGAATTAGAAAAGCATTAGTCGCTGTCGAATGATCGATTATCTTGAATGAGGTCATTTAAAAAAAAAATCAAACAGCATAAATAACATTTGTGATCACGCAATTGGCTTTTCACAATTGCTTTATTTGTGATGAATGTACGTGTATGTAAATCATTGAAGTTTTTTTCTCTCACATTTACGCGAATTTTTCTTAAGAAAATCTTAAATCATAACAAAATATTATACTTGTTAGAGATCGATGGGTTAACTTTAATTGTAGATGATCAAGCAATGATTTACTAAATCTAAAGGTCTTGTTGTGTAATTTTCCGTCAGTTGCGGTGAATAGGTAAGTTAACCAATATTGTAGCTACCTCTTCATGCAAATGAAACGGGCAGTAACTTTTGACTTGTCAATTTTCGGTTTACTTTTCCAGTTATTTGCAGAATCAACCAGCTGAATAATATCGTTCGCCCTCCCGGAAGTACACGAATTTTCTCGAACGCTTCATCAAGTTCCGTTAAGAATTGTTCGAATTATTCCCTTTTAAAGCATAACATAACTTGAGAAGCATGATAACTTACGATGTAGCATCACAGTTGTCTTTGATTAGGTCACCGCTTGTCAAGATTATTAGTCAAAGATTTACACTCACCACGTTTGTTTGTACTCGATAAAAATCATTTTTAAAAGTGTACATGTCTTGATATACTAAATAGTTTGAACTGGTTTGAAATAGTTTGATATCATTTGACCGAGTGGTTTGGGTGGTTCTAAGAAGGACCATTTTGAAAGTAGCGACTGACTTTTCGACAACTTAACTAAAAGTCCGTATTAAAGTCGAGCGTAGAGTTGTGGTCAGGAGAGTGTTTTAAGTCCATTTCGTGTAAATTAATTGGTTAGTTTCGATATATAGTTATTGCCTGTAAGACTTTAGTGGCTCTACGCCAATTGAGTATAAATAATAATGGTAATAATAATAATGATTTATTCAGGTTTTCCAGACCATGAGTTGTTGCTTTTCATCCAGAATCTAAAGCCACACGATTCATAAACTTATCACAGTCCACCACTGGTTTAAAATAATTTCAATACAATTTAGGTAATCTTAATGCGATAGTATATATATGTATATATATATGTATATATTTCTATATGAGTCCTGTAATTTGCTAAAAATAAAACTATGCAAATAAATGAATAATTGCCTATCTTTTGCAACATTATTAAAATAATGGTTGCTTCCCCTACTCAAAAAGCCCTTGTCTGATATGTTCCTAATGTCCTTAGGGAGGCTATTAAAGACTTTGGCAAAAATATGTCTTTTGGAACTGTCAAAGGTAATAATAATGATAATAATAACACTAATAATAGTAATAATAATGACAATAATGATAATAATTATTAAAATGAGCAATTTCAGAGACAAAAATATATCTAAAAGGTAAAAACCAAACGTTTTCGACAGCTAAGTCATCATGAATTACGATGATGATGATGACCTAACGTCGAAGATGTTTGGTTTTACTTTTTAGATATATTTTTTCCGTGTTAACAGTTCATTTTTTAACTTAAGCAAACTTTATGGACAATGATGATGATGATGATAATGATAGTAATAATAATAATAATAATAATAATAATAATAATAATAACTGTTTTTTCAAAATTAAACCGATAAAAGAAGTTATACCTTCCTAGATTATCTCCTCCTAAAAGTAATTAAAATATTTGTATCTGTTTTAAAATGGAGATATGTCACACCTTCAGTTAGATTAATGTTCACGCAAAACGCTCGTAAGATAATATTTGAGTCTACTCCTATAAATGTTCAAATTGTCCGCCTCAACGATTTCTCCTGGCAAATAATTCCATGAATCAATTATACAAAGAAAATAATATTTAAACTTTTTTAAAGGTGGGGATGCAGACATAATTTTGAAACAGTGCTTAGCTCTCAAGGGTCGAAAATCATTTGCGAATATAAAACAGTCTGAGGGGTTCAAGACCATTGTCTTATAACACTCAGAGAGCGAAGAAAATAATCTTCTTTGATACCACGTTGGCCATTTAAGAAACTTTAGACTTTCTTCGAAGGACAAATCCCTTCCAATATATCTGCATTTTTCTTGAACAGAAAAAAGCGTATGTTCTGATATTTTAGCCATGACGTAAGAGAACGGGTTATCTTAATACACTTTAAAGGGGCATGTCTTTCCAGCTAGTCAAATAGCATTGTGTTGAACATAATCTGGGTCATCAACACAGTATAATGCACTCATTAGTAGGCCTTTTTCATCTTCAATATAGGCATATTCAGCCTATTCAGAGAAGCGACGTTCATTCCTGATGTATTTGTATCACGGTTCAAATCGGTTAACTCGTGCGTTCTCGCAGACGTACGGTGCACAGTAATCGCTAATCACTGGGCGCGGTAGCATATCAGTTTTTGTCAGTCTGTTAATATAGTTAGTTATAAAGTGATCAATTGGATTTTTCGACTTGGCTGTGATTCGTGTTGACTTAGAGTGACTACCGGCGGTAGAACGCACATGCTGAGAATATCAGCGTATTACATGCATGGTAATGCCGCGTCTGACTTAAGCACATCAATATCAAAATCACCCGTTATCGCAAGTAGTCCATCTCAGGGAGCTGAGATATGAACTAACATAGTTTCAAAACCTTCTAGCCAGGCTCTTTGCAGAATTCGTTTGAATCAATATGTCATGCCGAGTACCACTTTTCTGTTGTTATTGCGGCCAGGGATCACTTTATGTCTGGCTTTAGTTTCTCAATGTCCTGAAGACGCTTGAACTTGATGATCAGACTACACGATCAAGGATGTTATGATATGTTTTTAGATCTCTTGGTGGATACATTGCCATGACTTGCTATTCTTATGCTGCATTAGATAGATAGTTGCTGTCTGTTGCAGATCTTCTCCTCTTACTTTTTTGTTTTGTCGCGAATAAACCTTCCTTGCTTGAGGCTATGAAATTGTCAGCTGATTAGAATTGTTCTGGTTTTTAGTTGATCAATTGAAACGCACGTGAAGAGAGGCTGAAAATGGATAGTGAATATGTGCCAGTATCCGAAGAATTTAAGAGTCGTGTCATTGGAAGGGATGGAAGCGTGTTGAATAGTATAAGAGAGAGATCGGGAGCAATAATTACATCCAGATATACAGAAGAAGAAGGATTTACTGTTAGTGGAAATGACCAGCAGAGAGAAACTGCAAAAAGACTAATTTTAGAAAAAGTGGTGAGTTGATTTTTTACTTATAAACGATGCGGTAACAAAATTGAAATACCTGAAAAAATTCTGGATACCATACTGTTTGGTTCCAGATTAGTTTCTATAGCCTAAATACTTTCCTGATTAGATGTTCAAAAGGTAACTATAGTGTATGAATTCTTCAATGAACGGAGGTGATTGTGAACAAAATTACACTCGTTTTGTTGACTCGAATGTTACTAAGTGTCCAAGAATGTTATTTAGTTTAGATCTACTGACATGCGAGCAGCAAGTCACCGCCTCTTTCTTCACAGGAGGAAATAGAGCTAACCAAGTGGGAGGAAGTGGAGATTCCTACCGAATACAAAGGTTTGGTGATCGGAAAGTACGGAGCTAATCTGCTTGTGATAAGCAAAGAAACAGGAGCAAAAGTGACCCGTAAAAGAGGAGAGGTGCACATTACACAGGGAACAAAGCAACAAAGGGATCAAGTGAAGTTCCTTATCAAACGCCAAGTGGTAGGTGGTTTGGATAAATTTTTTTCCCTCGATCGATGAGTTTTGAGTCGTTTTTGACCTGCGTAACTTTTTTTGCGCCCTCAGAAGTGGAGGCAGTCTTCCAATCTTCTCACCATCATAACTGTGCCACTTAACTCTTCAAATAAAGTGCAATCAAATCTCTTGCTGTGCAGGGTAGAAAATTATCAACTCTGTGTGTCTTTTTTCTTTTAAGCTTTAACCAATTTTGTTTGTTACGACAATATTGTTATTATTTTTCTCGCCATACTATTACTAGAGGTTCAATTGTGTAAATTTGTACGTGTTCCAGAGATCTTTTGCACATGCTCAAAAGCTCAGAAGTATGCCAAATGTGGTTCCCATTATTCGAAATTATCATACTCGATGACGTTTAATCACGGAAAATCTTAATTGTCGCATGTGCTCCAAAAAATGACAGACTTTACTCAATAACAACTTGCAAACTAGCTCTTGACAATCTATTATGGTGTGTCATTGTAAGAAGAAAGGAAAGTGAATATTTCAGAGAGCTTCATCTTTTGCAAGTCATGGTGAAGACATATACACACATTGCTTTTAAAGCAGGTTTTATAGAGAGATCTCCGTACACATTTCATTATGTACCTTCTTTCTGGGATTATTCGGCTTTCGAACAAAGTCACTTTATTTCCTCTATCTGAGTGGCCGTGAGGATTTTCCTGAAGGTCTAACAGTACGTGTGCGTTATTTTCTTCTCTTGCATCTTTACATCTACCACGTATATCTCTGTTGGCAGATAACTGCAGGTGCAAAAAATAAATAGTATAACATTTGCTAACCGCCGCCAGTCGTCTTTCCTTTTGTTGAAAAACATTAAAAGCTAACAAAGGAGCTCATCAATTTCAGGCTTTAGCACGACTTAGGGGCCTAGAAAACAAAGGCTATAAAATCTGCTGTTTCATTGACGATTGGAATATTACCGAGAACTGTAAACTGAAGCTGGAGCGAGTTTCAGAAAAAGATTGTTTGGTGGTCCCCAGCTCGCAGGCGCAGTTTCGACTGCAATCTTCAAGAGAATCCAACCTACAGGTTTGCAATTTTATATAACAATTTAAGGCCTAAACAAAGTGTCAAATGGGTACAAATTATTATTGGACGATTTAAATGGAACGAAATTGGGTTGTGGTAATTCATCGCTTTTTCATTCTTAGGTTTTAATTATCGTATGCTTCTTTGCACTTTGAAAGTTAAACTGGGATAACGAAGAACGTCCTTAGCAAATCGAACTCCAAGTATTGTTTTTTGAGTTTTTTTATCCTCTAACGAATCTTGATTCATTTCATAGTGGACCGAACCACAGCCAGTAATGTTATTTGCGGCACCTTTATGTAAATTATCCCTAGGTAACTCATTTAACTATGACAACACCAAGTGTCATGCACTTTGTCTTTGTCAGAGGCTAGTGATATCTAGTGAAATAGCCAGATGATATTTAATTCCTTCATGTATGAATAGGAATGTGTGAGTGAATCAGGCTATTTATCAAAACTTCAAGACGCCACGTTGGAAACACTGCGGAAACTGAAAGCTGAAAAGGATTCAAGGAACCAGTTAGAGGCTGACATGTGGTGTCATTTTGGATTAGCCACTATTCGTGGGCCGAGCGGAGGTAACACCTGACACCTTGAAGCACATGTCAAAAGGAACTTTTACTACAAAATACTAATTATATGTATTAATGATCTTGCAGTCATCGTAATGCAGAACGATATATCAGATAACCCCGTAGACACGTTGTAATGAAATCAATCAAATGACGTTTTGGTGCACCATTACCAAGGTGACTAACCTAAAGAAAAGATTTTGATGTTATCATGGGTTGAACAAATTCGCATATCAATAACAATTATGTTTCGTGGGTGAAACAAATTTTCTGAATACCTTGCGCCAGTATAGAGCTAACATTCTAGAAGCATTAATTTCTTTAATTACGTTATAACATCAACATTTTTTGCTTAGTGATCTTGACCGCGATGTCACGGTCACATTTAAACGTCGATTCGTTTCTTCAATTTGTACCTGTTTATGCGTTTTAAAACCCTTAATCCATTTTTTACTTTAAATTTAACTTAACACAAAATGTTAGTTTCCTGCTACAGTTGTGACTATTAAATCCAGAGATTTTTACATGAATAATGATTTCCATGGTTTAAAACATATGCTTAAAGAAGCTTTGTTATCTGTTATAGAGGACATTGAGAAAGAAGAATGGAGCATAGATGATGCAACAGCAATGTTTCAGTCGTCAGAGGATGGAAATTATTGGAAGGTTACTTTTCAAGAAGGCGTGAATTTCATTGAGGATATTTTCAGAGGATATTACTATGACAATACACCAAAAGAATACCTCGACTACGCCGCAAGATATGACTTAACATTCCTCACTCCATGCAGTCGTCAAATGAGATGTAAGGTGAGTCGGTTTAAGGGAGTGATAAAGGTGACTGGGGCCTGTTCTTCGTGATTCCCGGTACCCTAAGGGGCCTGAAGCCTGAGATCCAAACTTAACCCTTTAACTCCTAAGAGCGACTAACATCTAATTTCTCCTTACAACATTAACCCTAAATCAAACGTTAAGGTTATGAGAATAAAGGAGGTGATCACCAACTAAAGAAGCTCTTGATTGTTGAAAAAATTATTTAGCTGAAAGTTTTATTTCATTATTTTCAAAACTTTTGAGCTACCATCTTGAATCAAAACAGAACAACTTTATAAGCCCGTTAGGTTACCGATCTTTCGGGTAAAGGGCCCTTAGTCCGCTTATCAAGACTTGCTTGCTTTACCTGACAAGATGTCAATTATCCCAGCCGAACTCGCACAAATTGGCAATATCGCTACAGAAATCTCAGGCTTAAGATGCGAAAATGGGCACATCCGATAGAGAATGTATCAGAAATTCATATTTCGCTTAAATATGTGACTATAACTTCAAAGCAAGCAGAAAAAATTAACTTCATTCACACCAAAATCGTTTTGTCGTTCTACTGTAGGTTTTGGAGAGTGTCAGGATCATTGGTAATCAACTTTTGTTAGCCTTTCTCAATTGTAATCTATGTTGGAATTCAAATGTTAAATGGTTTTATGTTCACATTTATCAATGTTTTAATCCTTAATAGAGTATATATCTCCATGAAAGTGTGTTTTAAAAACCTCAAAAGATACAATAAGCAAAATTCAGCCACTTTGTCTCCAAACATAAAATAATGTCACCTCTTTTTTTTTGAGAAATTCGTCGTTTGTCACCGCAGATAGTGCGTGGGAAGAAAGAGGCCAAAACAGTACAGTGAATGAGTAACAACATTAACTCATATTGCATTTTGATCATTCCGCAATTTACTACGCATATATCCAACGGAAAACCTGCTTGAAACGGACATTAGGTTTTCTCCGTCGTAGAGTTTTCTCTGAGACTTTGATCCTATTGACAATCTTTCTACTCCTTTCCAAAAGTGCTTGAGTTAAATTAGTTGTCTTCGTCGGTCGTCGACAAATGCGGATTGATCGGAAAGGCAGAAACCAAATTTTCTTATCTATCAATCAAATTTCGGTAAAAGGAGTCCTCCTACAGAAACGTCTTGGTGTTACTACCTCTAGTTACTTGTACTGGAAGAGTCACTTCATTTCCTGCAAACGCCAACCGCGTGCTGGTAAAACTAAACGACTTTTTTTACAGAGGATTTAAAAAGTGGGTGTATATTGACGGTTCTATAGTTTACCTATGGTGAGTTACACTTTAAGCCAAGATGTATGGCTTTAAACACGCCATAAATACGTGGATCTTTTACTACTTTTCATTACATCGGCGTTTCCCTGTAAAGTCAAATCAGAGGATAATGTCAAGCTCTAAAACGGCCGCACAAGATATTCCAAAAGATATCAGATTTGGAACCCTCTGCCCAATAAAACATCTTGATGCATTTGCTAGGGCTATGACACATCAATAATTTGAGTGCCTCTCCAAGTAATGTTTTCGAAGTAGAAAATTTTTGTAAGGTTAGGAATCTCTGGACGAGGCATTTTAGAAATTCATTTTTCCAACATAATGTACATGAAGATTATATTATTTCGACTAATTTAAACTTTGTTATTCGTAGGTTAAGGTCAGGTTCATGTTGCCTGGAAGATTGAGTTCTTCCCTATTGTCACTCTCTTTGAATCTCACAAGTTGCATTTGTTTTTTTTTTTATCGCCAATAAGGTTGTTTTGAATATGAATAACAACAACAATAACAACATAAGCAATTCATCTCTAAATTCGTAACGAGAAGGATTCGATGAAAGCTTGAGTTATTTAACTTAACGAAGGTTTTTTTGAATTTCTGGCTCTTTAGGTCTGGGTGGCTAGAAAGGATGTCGAGAAAAAGTTGGCAAGCATTCCAGTACCATTTAGTGACGTCAAAAACATCCTGAAAGAAATTTACTTCACCGATGAAACCACTCAGTCACGAAGTCGAGGCTGGTTAGTTCTCCCCTCGCGAAGATATTTACAAGCAGATATTTTATTTCCCGGGTGCGAGTTTGATTGCAGACTCACCATACGTGAACGAACAGGTAGGTTCCGTGGGAATACTCTAAATGCATAGATGGTTTGTCTATCACGAAATGAAAGAGTCACGTACCAGGGTCTACAAACTTTAATGCCATAAAAGGGTAAGGAATGGTTTGTTTGTATAAGTCCCAAGAGCCTTAAAGCACAGGGGATATGCAACCTTTCTCTTTATCGGAGTCCTGTATACGATATTTAGCATTTTCAGTTCTTTAAAAAGGGGGAAACAATTACGACTATCACAGAAGGTTTTCATGAGAGAGTCTTTACCGGGTTGAAAACGGCGTAAAAGACCACAAATTTTAACCGTTAGTTATCTAAGATTTGTCGTTCAAAATGTCAAAATCCCAGAATGTTATGTGTCTTGAATTGTGGCCAGTGCGGCTGCGACGGTTACACACTCTATCCTGATGCCGAAAACAAAGACCTTTGACTCAGTTCCCGCAGTCTTCTACCGCGAACCACGACGTGCAGGAGTGTCTTCTTTCCGTGTAAAATGAGTTGATAGACAGTTGATGGCTGCTCCAAAAGGCTTAATTAGTTTGTATCGAGCTGAGGAGGAGATGCCAATTGGAAGATATAAGGCACGAAATTAGTTCAGCGTTTGAATCTGATCGATGTTCTTGACTTTAACGACCAAGCCAAGAATTATGGCTAGGACCAATAAGCCTTGAAGGTTTTTTAGCCTTCTGAAAATGAGCGAGCTTGCAAAAAATTACTCCATATTGAATATCAACCCAACAGCACTTGATCTGGAATTAACCTTGTTACTTGACTCTGATGGTTAAAGCAAGAGAATATGTGTTTTAGAGATATGAAAACCGTCAGCCATAAAAACCATCTCAAAGTCAATTTTTGTTGTTGTTGTTGTTGTTGTTAATGTTCCTTGTATGTGCGTGCATTTGTGTTGAAACAGGGAATGCCACAGATCTAAACCATGTACCCAAAGAAGATGTCATAAGCGTGTTGGCAGATTATCTTTCTGGGATGACTTTGGTAGAAGACGACCCCTTTGGACTAAAAATCCCAGAGAAGAAGATCCCAGAAGGATATCATTTGACCCACAAGCGGTTTTCCAAACGAATCGTATACAAGTCTAAACCAGGTTTCAGTATAACTCTATCGAGGGAACTGTCGTGGAGCCTTGCTGTGACTGATGAAAGATCCAGAGAATCGGTATTGACTACTAAGTGAAGACAAAAGTCCTCCTTGCTTAATGAACGCTCTACCCAAGGAGCAGCAGGATATATAATGAATCATTTTTATTTTCATTCTTTTTTGTAGACTGATCTACACCAACATTGTGACGAATGGGACAGGCTACTCAGAAGTGGACAGTGGGAAGCAGAGATGATTGTCAGAAAGTTACCCGATTTTCTCGAATTTGTCAAAGAAGTTCAAGGCTTTGTTGTCGGAAAGATAATGAGAAGTGGGCTGGAAAGGATTGGTAATTAGAAAATTTGACTTTTTCCAAGGTTTTGTCTTTAATGATACGCTACGCATTTTTAGTAAAAATATTTAATTTTCGTCGCTGGACATTCGTTATAATACGACAAAGAAAAAATTGAAAAGAAAAGGTAGGCGATTAAATGAAATAACATAGCCGTCATTCTTTTGCCACAATCGTAAGACAGAGAGAAACATTTGAGTTCAGTACGAGGATTTGAACACCAGACCGGATTTTGCTATCCACTATTATCTTTAGCTTACTTGGTTAACTCCTGCGAATTGGTCCTTTTTTCATACATAGGTTCTTTGCAGTTTAGTGAAGTCAAAGATAATGGTCCGCAATATCTGAAAATTGAATATACGCCGTAGACTCATACTTTTTCTTTGACAAAAAATTACATATTTCTGTGGTACAATTGCGCGATGTTGCTGTGATAACAAATAAATGAAGAATTGTCTCGGTATACAAAAGGCGCACAAAGCACGCTAGGACTATTATCATGGTGACTTTTTTGTGTAACACCTACAAGACAAAAGCATTAGGCCATCAAATTAGCGGCAATCAATGTACTGCTTTTACAGCCTTATCGCGCACCCGGATTTGTCAGTCTTTTGAAAAAGCTTGCAATATCCTTGCTACTATCATAAATGTTTTTTCTTAACTGCCTTCAAACATGCAGTTCCTCCAGAGATTCTTGCAAGAGGACCTCTCGCTCAACAAGCCTATTACCACGCCCTGGATGAAGGGAAAATCTGTGACAGGAGAGTACCGCTAATGTTGGTTGGACAAGACCGATCCGGAAAGACTAGCTTGAAGAAATCGTTGAAGGGCATATACTTTAACTCAGAGGAGGAGAGCACTGTGGGCATCGATTTCGATCCTAACCCTTTCAAAGTGACCACGGAAATGTGGATGACAGGAAAAAAGAATGAAGAAGGAGATGTTGACGAAGAAGCTATTTCGTTTGAGCAAAATGCTGCACGTTTGGCTGCTGACACATTAAGGACGACAGAAACCGTCAATGAGATTAGTAGAAGACACAATCTTGGCGAGGGAGAAGACTATGATATTGACGATACCGATGATCTAGTATTGGGGGCAACTTCCACTGACTCGTCGAGTGGCCTTGTTCGAATTGAGCAAACTGAGGATCCGTTATCCACCGAAAGTAGCTTTAATGAAACTCGTTCGCCGGTAGGACAAGTTCCTGATCCAAAGAAATTGGAACCCGAAGATGATTTACCCAACCCCACACCAGAACTGGCATCAGATTTTGAAGAAATTGCTACAAGAATTGAAAGTTTACTTAAAGAAAAAAAGAAGAGAAAAGAGGTAGAGGCCGACGATGTCTACTCAATTCTGTGGGATTTCGCTGGAGAATCCATTTACTATGTAACACATCCCCTTTTCCTTACAGCAAGAGCGATCTATTTTCTTGTTTATAACCTCAACTGGAACCCAAACGCAAAAGCCAATCGGCTAATGAAGCAGGGAGTATACGCAGAGTCTCAAGATAGTTTTAACCTAAAAACTAACTTGGATTACCTAGATTTCTGGATGAATTCGTTAGCTTCCCTAGCCGCATATAGCGAAGACAAGGATATGGATACTCAATTCGAGGTACTTCCAAAACGACTGCCAATGGTCTTTTTGGTCTGCACTCACGCTGATGAACCATACGAGGGCAGAGATGCACGCAAGCTCGCAGCTGAAGTGTATGGAACTTTGAAGGAGAGACCTTACGGTACCCATTTGTTTGGTATGTATTGTGTAGATAATACAAAGTCCGGCCGCGAGTCTGAGTGTCAAGAAGTCGGCCGCCTGCGAAAGGATGTTCTCGCTGCTGCTAAGAAATTGCCGCATATCAAAGAGGTGATTCCAGTTAAATGGTTAAAGTACGAAAAAACTCTCCAATGCTGGAAAAAGGGCGGGTATAATTTTATTTCCCTCGAAACAGCCAAAAGGATAGCAAACCAGGAATGCGACATCAGTGCTGAAAACGATTTCAAGACGCTGCTCAACTTTCTGCATGATCTAAGAATCTTGATCCATTTTGATGACACAGCAGAACTAAATGATCTAGTAGTTCTAGATTCTCAGTGGTTAATTGACGTGTTCAAGAAGGTAATAACCGTAAAACCCTACCATTGGGAAGAGGAGCCCTTTTTAGGATTATGGAGGAAGCTTGAAAGAGAAGGAATCTTGGAGGAAAAGCTTTTGGAACATGTTTGGGAACCTCAGTTAATCGGCGGCAGAGAAAATTCTGAAAAATTAATTGCATTAATGGAGAGATTTAGCTTATTGTGTTCATGGCCTTCACATGGTGTCTCAGGTAACAGGCAGTTCCTCGTACCCTCCATGCTAAAGTCACAAGCACCAGAGGGTGTCATGAAATTGGTTTCCTCCGCGCAAATACCTTCTCTCGTTGTAAAATTTGAATCTGGTCAAGTCCCTGCTGGCCTGTTTCCCAGATTAGTCTTACAATTCTTTCAATGGGGAAAAGAGAGTTTTTGGAGCTCAAAGCGCCTAAAGTTGTTTCACGGCTTTTCCAGGTTTTACACGTCTCAAGATGCCGGGTGCTCAGTAATTCTTCTATGTCACTCGTCTTACATCGAGGTTGTCTACCATCAGGGTAACGCAAATGATGAGTCGGTAAATGCTTTGCAGTCACCCCTCTCCCAGAATTCAATGAACAAGTTGTACAATGAAAATGATTTAAGCTGTGTCCGGGTTGTCTGTAGACAGTTGGGCTTGATTCTGGAGTGCATGCGTAATCAGTTCCGCTGGCTGAACAGTATGAGATACAAGATGGGTATCATCTGCCCAATCTGCCGTGAACAAAGTGCCGTCGAGTACTGTGAAAGGCATCAAAGTCTAAATTGCAAGCAAGAGGAATGCCTCCACTTTTGGTCCGAGTCTGAACTGTGCGCATCCAAGGGAGATGCATTTTGTATGGAATCTGTTTCGGCGCTAAATAACAGATTTAACCCTGAGCGCTGGGCTCCTTGGTTTTCATCTCAGGATAACTGGGTAATTATCATTACAAGCTGCATCTGAAAAAAAAGTATTGCCTCTATTGCAGATAAAATAATTCGAGTAAAGCAATTCTTTGACAATGGCTTACACATCTGATTAAGAAATTTGAAAGGCTGTTTACTGGGGCGAATGTAATTGAATTTCAAAGAAAATTAACGGAAAATATCATACAACAAACAATTTATTTTTCAGACTTTATATCAGCTAGTAATCAAAGCGAATGTAGTTATAACAATTACTATCCCGTGATTTTTTGGCAGTTTTTAACTCTTCTGATATAATCGTAATAATGGTAATATGCGAAAAAGTTTTAACCACTTCCTATTTACGCATCGTAGGTGGGACGTAGTAATCACTGTGATGAACTTTTGTTCCTGGAGAAAGGTGAGGTTCTTACTTAGGTACGCAGAAGTTTTTGCACGATAGTCGCCAGTATTAGGCGTGCTCTGCTTTTTTTCTCGTCAATTTTCTCTTGTATCTTCCTTTATTACTTTGATCATCATTAGGTTAACTGTTGAAGTATAGGTGATAGGTTCCTCTAAAACACCAAACTTGCGTGAAACAATACGGAAAAGGTCGATTTACCTGACATGTCCGCCTACGCAGATTTCACTTTATCCAGCTCTGTTGGTAGTCATTTCGCCCACACTCGCTTAGTTTTCAAAGAACCATCTGTTACGGAATGCTGGCTACCTGGTAAAAAGCTATAAGGTGTAGCAATGTTAATATATGAATAAATTATATGCTTTGTTAGGGAAAGGTGCTACGACTCTCTCTGTCCCTTGTGAGATTGTAGACACCCTTTTGGCACAGTCGAATGATTGCAAAGATTTTGTACGACAATTAGAAGACAAATTAAATCTGAATGACGCCGTCTTGCGAGACCCTGATCCTAATACCAGGGTACTGATTCGTACCCTGGCGAGAAAGGCTAACAATGCAAGCCGAAGTGATCTAGTTGAAGAGCTGAGAAAAATTGTACCGGCGGGAACTACAGGTAAGTTTTAATATGGAAACTCAAATGTACATTACTTTAATGACCGCCACACTCAGCCGTCGAGTATGTTCGTGGAATAATAACGTGCTGTGCTTTTTGAAGTATACTTTTTGATTGCAAGATTATGTCATCATAACATCTGTCAAATACTCAGCACTCCAAGGCTCGCCAGATTATGAAAACGTTAGGAACATAACTCGTCTCGTTGATTCTCGAAATGGCACTCGCACTCTTTTGTTGGCTTATGCCGAAAATATATCCCATATTGAAAGTTCTACAATCCTAAATGCTTTTCCTGCAAATCGTTTTCATGATAATTTATTTTCCATTCATTGGCTTAATTGTCGTTTTCTCCAGTGGTAAATTATAGTGTCCTCCTGATAATTACTAACCGTTTTTCTCACAGAATTTCTCCGGGCGGGTGAACTAAAACTCTTTTTAAAATTTGATTAAAATCATTTAAGCTCTAACCGAAAGTTCCGAAACGTTTTGGGTTGTTAGCTGGAGTGCCTAAACATTCTATCATTTTTGAAAATACATATAAAATTTTCTTATTTCTAGCTCCAATGTTACCGGAAAGCCTTCTTGTTCGAGGAATCCCTTTCAGTCAACTAAAAAAGCTCACTATCACCTTAAGCGGTAAGAAGACAAAACAAAGTATTGAGTTTTTCTTCATTACAATGTTTCATATAAGCGTATTCATGTTTTTCTTTCTCGCCTCCTTCCCTCCTTTCCTTCCGATCTTCTTTCCTCCATCACTTACTCTCTCACCTGTCCTTGTATTCATTCTCACTTTCATTCTTTCAGCATAATAAACATAGAATAATCTTTATAGAACGTTGCACAAAAATTCACAAGGCAAAGTAATAATAAGTAGAGTACAAATTACGCGCGAATCGAGTACAAATATCCTGCGATATGGTACGGTTATTTAGACAGTTGGTTATTTTATACTGTCAAAAAGCCTGTTTAACCAGTCGGCTGCGCGCGTTACGCTTCACTATCCGCTTTGCTTTTCCCGCCTTATGAGAAATGAGCAGAAACACTTAGCAGAAAAATAATAAGTAGAGTACAAATAACGCACGAATCGAGTACAAATATCCTGCGATATGGTACGCTTATTTTATGCTGTAAAAAGGCTGTTTCACCAGTCGGCTGCGCGCGCTACGCTTCTCTATCCGCTTTGCTTTTCCCGCCTTATGAGAAATTTGCAGAAACACTTAGCAGAAAAAAAGGCAGCTGGAGAATTAATAACTTATTGGACATTTTGGTGTGGAGTATCGCTGAGTATTTTTACGAGTTGTGCCGTATTTAAATACTCTGCGATATTACACGCCAAAATTCCCCGTAATAAGATCTATATTTCCTGAACCATTCTGTTCCATCCTTGTTTATTCTATTAGTTCCTTTTGTTCTCTAATTAAGTTATCTTGAAAAAGGACTTTTATGTTTAACGTTGAAGGTGGAGATGAGTGGAAGATATTTGCCGAGCAACTGAGACTAACCCCAGAAGAGATTCGTTTCCTTGACAATCGCACTTTGAATCCAGCTGATGCAGCTTTGGGTTACATTGCACAAAAATATCAGATAACAGTGGGTGATCTTTATCACCTTTTAACTGAATGTGGACTACCCGTCGTAGCCGATTTGCTTTGAAAGTAGTACTTCTTTTCCAAGTGGACTACAGTCAGTCAGTAACTGAAAAATGTACAATATAATCAGTTAGATGTTACTTTGCAAACAAATAATTTCTTTTGAAGTACGCATTGTTCTTCTTTATGAACCTCTCGAGTCCTCTACGTGAATTTATTTTCACTCTCGTTCCTATTTACGCTACAGCAGAGACAAATTTTGGCTGAAATCTTTGAAAGGAAAAGCAGGACGGTTTCCAGAAATAATAGTCAACAGAAAAAACTTACCATTCTATTTTGCATATCACACCTTTACGTCCACTTGACTTTTGTTGGCCTCAGTAGGGCGTTTTGACACTTCCAAAGCTTTGACTTAAACGGGTCAAGGGGAGAATAGAAGGCTGCTAGTATTTTTGATAGCTTACTTGAATCTTCGTGGCTGAATCCCTCCTAAAAGTATTGTATAAGAATTTGTCGTCGTTTCTTCTGCCGGGTTAACCAAACAAATATCCCACTTACTCTCTGAGTTCCAACACAAACGACATTCCTATGCTGTTCGTATGAAAACTGGGAGATGATCGTCAGTACTTTTTGAGATGCGGGAGTTGCCTCTTCAAGATGATCCCATTCAGTGTTAATTGTCTTTACTGACGGGGACATCCTCATGAATTTACAACATATTCCACTCTGCCGTGGAGAGCTTTACCTACACGAGCGTGGTAACTCGTACACCCGATTTTCCTCAAATTGCACTGAAGAGCATCAAACACTTTGTCGGGATTGTGGAGTCTTTGCCATTCCCAAAGAGCTTCTCCGTTGATTCGAAGATAGAATTGCGGTTTAAACTACTTGTCAACGGCCGAGACATATTTAAAAAAGTAGGGTTGACCGGGGATTGTATGAGCTCTGAAAAGAGCTCCCGATCAACACACTGCATTTCTTTAACGGTACACGTGGCAGAATTCTAAATTTTTGAGAAGATCTTGTTGTTTCTGTTTCTGTTGCAAACGAAGAGTGTTACGATTAACCTGCCGTGATAAACGTTACCAATGGTTTCGTTTCCGAATAGTCCATTTTACAGTTGTGTACTTGGTTACCAAGCCTTTGAACAGGAGTGAGGCTAAGGGTGACCTTGTTATGATACAAACCTTGCTGCTTTTGAAATGCAAATTAATTTTTTATCATGCTAACTAGATTCTGGTCTCTAACACAACAAGGTCACCTTCAGCCTCACTCCAAATCAAAGGCTTGGCAACTAAGTACACAACTGTAAAATGGCCTATTCGCTCAATCCTAAAGCTTGGGAAGTCGATATCTCAATTTCAATGCTTGATTGCAGTGGCGTTCGCGCTATTGTTTGCGGAGGCGAAGTTTTGCATATGAATAAAGGGGTAAGTTTCTAAAGAAACTGTGGTGCTGCGTCGCTGGGAGAGTATAGCAGGTAATTTAGTATTAACAACTGGGTTGAAAACGTAAATTAGCCACCGTAAAGGGTAAAAAAGCTGACGTTTCGAGCGTTAGCCCTTCGTCAGAGCGATTGAATACCTGAAGTTTTGCATATGTTAGTACACTCGCGGGGGTTTCAAAAATCGTTCAACCGTGCTTCTCGACGTAAAATTCAGGGTGGCCAGAGGTTGCTTCAGAAGAATTCGGTAGAAAATAAACTTAAGAATAAATTTGTTTATTGAACCCTCTTCTACAAAATTCATATGCTGACAAATAGCTTCGGCAGCTAGTTGGTGAGTAAAACAGAAAAACTTAGGTGCAAGTGAGCGTTTTATAGCCATTTTCCTCATTGTTTCCCTCTCTTTTCTCGGAAGACCGTTCAAATTTACCGCCAGCGGACTTAAAAAGTACCCGCATGTGTCGCGGAATTCTGCGCGATGGCATAATCTCAGTACGCTTTACAGACAAAGAAAATGAAAGAAGTATGCCGGGCCCTCGACAGTTTCGTCTTAACCATTTCCTGTGATATGATTAGTCTAGACAAGACCAAAACAGACTGATGTAGCCGAGAGAGGATTTGGACGATACTTTTCATTGCTTGCTTCTTGTGGCGGCCATGTTGAAATGCGAAGGGAAGGTAGAATAGAATTCAAAATTTCGAGAAAGACATATTTACTTCAATATCACTCGTAATTTCCACATGAATGTTAAAGAAAATGTCGCGTATTAGAAGTAATTCTGCAAGACTTTCAGCGAAAACACTTCAACCAGCTTCAGCCGCTGGTTGTCTGTTTGTTCGATGTGAAGGGCGCCCTCTAGCTTTTTTCCAGACAAGGGCAGTCTTAGTCACGATGAGATGTCCACAAAAAAAGATCGTTTAGGTCGAAATAATTTTTTGTTGATCCTAGTTTTCCCAGACTCGATAAAGTGTTCGTTTGCATGCCAAGCAGACCCATTTCAAATTGAATAAAATTATCATTTTTGAACAAGCTTTTGTCAGACCTTCTTACTCGACAGTCCTTTATCAAAAAATTTATAGACTGTTCTCAAGAAGGAGATGCGATTATCCATAAGCTGAAACGAAAAACAAAACGACCTTTAGGAACAGTGAGAAAATCGATAGCTGGCAGAAGCCATAACACCATAACGGCCTAAGACAACAAGTCACAACAACAACGGCCGTGCACTCGGACTAACTACATTGAGGTTTACCGGAATATTTTTCTTTTTCAGAAAAAAATCGTACATACCTCAAATTTACGTGATAGTGATAACATTTGTGTCCTCAATCGTTCTAAATAAGTCATCGCAGATAGACTTTACATTGAGATTTCTCTTCACACATTTCAACCGACGCTATTCAAACTGCTTTTCCTTTGCTATATCAAGTAAACTGGGTCCTAAGGGCCATACACATCAAAGACAAAAATGCGGGACTAAAATGTCGGGTTCGCCTTGGTTTTAAAAAAAATTAGACCGTCCAATTTTTAAAAACTAAGGCTAACGTGACGCAATGTTTCATGACGTCATGGTATAGAGAAAACTATCGATGGCCCGGACTACATTTTAGAATTAAGTTTACTTGAATAAATTGATGATTAAATAACAATGTTTTGAGCTTTCTTTTATGTTTAAACCAACTTTACACTTTTTAAATGTTTAATTTTAAATTAAAGTTGCTCAAAAACCTTTTCAGTCTATGGGGCATATTTTTGCCAAACCTAAGGATCCTGTCACGGAAGAACAACGAACCTACGCTATTTATTCTATTCCGTGCAATGACTGTGATCACGAGTATATCGGACCAAACATGTGACAGACCAAACGTCAGTTTGGTGCACGTTTGAAAGAGCATCAACAAGTAGTCTTCTTTTGCAAAAAAGAAAATTCAGCTTTGTTGGAGCAAACATGCCTAACCAACCATACAATTGGATGGGATAAGTCTAAAATTATCACCACTAATCGACGTTACCACCAGCGCCTTTGGTTGGAAGCCTGGCATGTCAACTCCGCCCACGCTCCTTTAAATCGTGATGATGGCGGCTTACTTCCCGACGCCTATTTACACCTCGTCAGAAAAAAGGGCAGCTAATTAGTAAGCGTATAAAAGGACCTCTTCTTGCAGCGTTTGGATCACCCTTGATAAAGGTTCTAGACAGGAGTGTCGAAACGTTGGGTCTATGAATTTTAACTTCTCGGTTACATTCATTAAATCTTGAAACCAGAGAAGCATCAAACCATGTCCGATTGTCCACCTGGTTGCCATGTGAACTTTAATATATCACACTATTTACTTGTTTGGTTTATACTGAATAATATTATATCTGCAGGGTTACTTTCACGACGAACATAGATACCCTGCCGTACATTCCCTCTAATAAGCCACTTCTCCGTTTAAATCACCTACCTCTGTTGCCGAGATTGCTCACAAGGTATCTGTATACCCAAAATAAGTCAATGCTTAAACGGTACTTGATATCGATATTTTATGTCAAAAGTAGTGTATAGATATAATCACTTTCGTGTTTGGAAAGTTTTTAACCTTCAGTGCTGAAATTCGACAAGAAGGATCCCCTACGACAAGGCTTGAAAACAGTGACGACAAATTTCTCTTTTAGATCTTTCACAAATTATGCCTTCCATCCAAGGAAAAGTTTTGTGCCACCTATTCTCGAAGATTAAAAACTATTTAAGAGCAAATCATTGTGATATTCTCTTGCGACTTCACTGGTAGAATTGAGATCGTGGATCTTTGTACCTCGAGAATATGAACACCATACTGCAAGAAAGATAAACTTCTTTTTCGAAATTACGTGTAATCCCTTATTTATGAATTTTCAGGAAATATACTTTTCTTGGGTTTCATCATTACTTACCCTTGAGATAGGTTTGACTGTTTCTCTTTTAGTTACATGTTTTTCTTCTGGTCAACTGCTTAGAAAGAAACAATCAAAAACCACATCCATGAAATGGCATTTTGTTTGTTCCTGACTTCTCCCTTTCGACAATGTACAACCGCTCTTCTCTACAACTGTTAATATTTTGAACTTGTTATGCGTTTTTTTTTTTTATACTAAATGATTTTAGTGATTGTTTCAAACTTAAAAAGTTTCTCCTTTATGCCAAAAAAGACAAAAAATCCCTGAAAGTTCAAACTAACTCAAATTGTAGGTAAGTCGATTCATCAGTCCGTGTCTCACACCCAATCCATAGTCCGTAGTCCGTAGTCCGTAGTCCATACTCCTTGGTTAATATTTTACAACTGTCTTGTTTACTTGTGAATCTGACTAATGAGTCAATTGGGAGAAAATGAAGAGGATCACTTTAGAAGCTTCATGTACTATTTCGCAGGTACATAAAGCCTCCAAACTGAAGATGAGCTAAGATTACTATCAGTATGGAGTGAGAGACAGTAGTTGACATATGTGCTCCTCGGTCCCCCATTACTTTCCAATTACTTTCCAATCATCTTTTCTTTCGGCGGGTCGTCCTCTCACAGTCACCCCACTCCCCCTCGACAGTTCGTAGAAAGGATAGCCCTTTATTCATGTGAAGCCCATGAAATTGGACACGACATTAGCTATGTCTGCTGAAGAGAAGGTAAATATCGCCAGGATAATTTCATGATAATTAAATTAATTTTTAAAATTGCCCATCCGATCCGCTGCAGTCCAAATTTGCGAGGTAAACTAGTTATGCCGATGCCTTAAGCTTGTAAATTAGTATGTAAAAACCGTGTAATAGTGTGGCTACATGACCGACGGCTGGTCAAGGTTTTCAAATAACTAAATGACTGGCAGTCGGGTATTTTTCAATATTCCATACTTAACGAAGAGAGAACCTGTACAATCCAAACAACCACTTTTTGTTTAGGAACTGCTAAGCGATCCCGAATTGATTTATAGATGTCATATCTCATGCTCGATTTAAGTTGGGCTCAGAATACGGAGCTATCGTCTTTGACACTTAGAAATGCGGCATGATAACGGCGAAATTGGTAATTTCGTTCGCCTGTACATAAGAGCATTTCTTGAAGCCACTAAGTTTGGCGTATGGTATATATTAATACTAGCATATATTAATAGTGATTATAATACAGCCAGTAACGCAATGACTTAATGGCCGGTACCATCATGACTTAACGGTTACATTTTCGTCGGTATTAAGGGAAATTCTAAGATAGCTACCAACGCAATGACTTTTCCAGCCACATATGCGTCAGTTTACAAGGAAATTCCAAGATAGCCTCTAACGCAATAACTTAACGGCTTAACGGCTATATAATTACGCCGGTATACAAGGAAATTCTAAGATAGCAAGTAACGCAATGACTTAACACCTACCTTTACCGGTATGTAGGAAAATTCTGAGATACATGTTGCCAGTAACGAAATGACTTGACGGCTTCACTTGCGTCGGTGTAAAGGGAAATTCAAAGATAGCCAGTAACACAATGACGGCTACATTTGCGCGGTATAGATGGCCAGTAACGCAATTCCCTTTTAGCACTCCCATGGTTTTTCATTTTCCAAGACACGGATACGAGTCTTCATTGCGCCCGTTTCAGATTTGTAAAAAATGTTTATCGAGATCCAGACAGACGTAGATTATGCTTCGAATTAAAAAATTTCGTTTAGTTGATTCTAAAGTTTGCAAGACCGAACACCTAGCTATTGTCTTTTTGTACTTTGTTTGTTTGTTTGTCAATAGTGTTCCTGTTTGGGTTTGTCTCACAGCCATGGTCTGGACCAACAACAGAGTTCCTGAGTAGGTTTTTGTTTTCAATGATTGGCTTCTATTTTGTTTAAATCATTAAGTGCTTTATTGTTCATTTCTATTGTTCTTGTAAAATTATTTGGGTTAGCAAGTTTACCAAGAGTTGTAACTGCCAAAGACCAACTGGCCCATAACCCAAACATGTTCACCAATAGATTACTTAGGAGGTGTGTTGGAGTGATTAAGTGTAGTATTAGTAGTTGAGGTAGTGGTAGCAGAAAGTTGTCAATATGCTGGAGAAGAACAATTAAAGGAGAAGTCAAAAGTAGAGTCTTGGTGCCTCTTGCTGAGAAAGTCCCCTTAGTGCCCCTCTACAATATTAAATACAAGGTACTACTTCTGTTTGAAGGCATGGCCCAATCTGGCCCTCTTGCTGTTTCATAGCTCACCTCATCAGATTCCACAATCTCTACTGTGTTTTCCTCTTTCTCCTCTCACTCTTTATCAGAGCCAAAGCCATTGCCTTTCTCCTTGTTTTTCACTTATCTGACACTGGCTGTCATGACTTCCGTCATTAGATTCCACAATCTCTATTGAGTCTTTTCCCTTGAAAACAACTCCCTCAAGTTTGAGGGTGATGCCCAAAAAAGGGTATCGCAATAATATGCCACTTTCTGCTCTTCAAATCCACATAAAGAAATGTCCAGTGGTAACCAGTTTGATTTGGAGAGCTGATGTACACTCTGCTGGAATTTACCCCAGCAAATACCAAATTAACCTTGTCAAAACACAACAATTTTCTGAGTCATCCATTACACAAATCTGCAACAGGCAATTTATGGCTCACAGTTATTGCTAAAAAGATTGTAAAAACTTAACTTACCTGACAGAGTATTTCTTCTCTATATTTATCCAAGAAATAACAGCAAATAAAATCAACAGCTTGAGCACAAAGCAAGAATTGATGGTAATTAAGTCAGTGACCATAGAAAGTCTCATGTGGTGCAAAATTTTTTGCCACAAGTGTGCCTCACCCTTGAGTTTCAACCTCTAATGTGTCATGAACTCCAAATTGTGGTCTTGCTCCTATTCCTCAGGGTCTCAGTGTATTCAATCTCCTCCAGATGGCTTAGCAGTTCCTCATTAACACATAAAATTTTGGATTTTAAAGATTCTTTTGATTTGAAAAATTTAGAAAAATATCTGATTGCTGGTCATTTAGTGATTTGAGAACTGTGACTGGCAGTTGTCATCAAACAATTTCTTGGTGTCGACATCCATGACTCCATCTTCTCAGCCCAGCGTAAACTAAGCATTAGATATGAGACTCACAAATCTCCTTGAGATCACTAAATAGTTCTCCATCAACGTGTAATAGTTTGGATTCTGCAGAGTTGTGAAAGTTTAAGATCAGACTGCTGATCATTTATGTAATTTGAGAACAGTGACTGGCAGTCTACCTACTGCAAAATTTGTGGATGTCAACATCCATGGCTCCATATTGTGAGACTAGCGTTAGACACGAGATTTATAAATCTCCTCAAGATTGCTTCATAGTTCCTTCCTTAATAGTTTGGATTGTAAAAGTTCTCTGGATTATTTTATTAAGTTTTTAGATCCAACTACCAATCATTTAGTTATTTGAGAATCAACCTTATGCAAAATTTAATTTCTAAGTGTCAACAATGATATAAACTGAAACAACTATTCACCTCAGTGTTACACGGCTTGGTAAGTATCCACAGTATCCATATACCTAAAATGACCTAAATTGACCTAACATTAGGGTATTCTAAGGTTTTTTGTTTTGGATTTTAGGTCATGTCTTGTTTTAGTAACTACAACCACTAGCCACCTCCACTTCAGTAAACAGTTATTTTTCATTACTTAAATGTGCAAAAAAATTTGTGGCAGCTAGAGGGGAGAGTTAACATATGGATCTTTGGAGTTAAGCATCAGCTGTATAGTATTTCGGTAATTGCAGGTGTAGATACACAGTATTTGTTGTAATATATCTGTCTTTTAAGTTTGGTATTTTAGAGAAATTAAATGCTGGGGAAGTGCTTGTTGGAGATGGTGGAATGACACATGCTTTAGAGAAGCGTGGATATGTGAAAGCAGGGCCTTATACTCCAGAGTGTACAGTGGAATATCCAGAGGCAGGTTGTAGTCTTCTTTTGTTGCACCTGTTGCTATGGGGCCTAATTACAACCTCACTTTTGTGAACACCTGTAATTGAGAATATTTGAATTCATATTTAAGTGGGTGCTTGATTTTTCAAACATATTAATGGAGTAGTTTCTTTGTAATAGCAAAGTTATCCTAGAGATCACCAGCTTCCAATCTATTGACCTTCACCTATATACGCTGTATATCTAAATAGATTTTATTTCATATCATGTCATATGTAATTTCTTTTCCGTTCTTGCTATACAGTGCTTAGAAAGGTAAGGTTGTTCAACTTGTTCCCTAGCATGTGATTTAGTTGTGTAAGAGCAATCACACCATCACAGTGCTCAGCTTATGGATTTAGAACCCTTTTGAATTAAATTTTTATTTATGCCAAAAGTGAGAGGATATTTCAGGCTAATTTTGATTTTTTGGTTTTGTGGTCATCCTACAAAGTGGAAAAAAAAGGGTTGCAAAGAAACAAAAGATTGTAAGGGTGGTTGTTTCTGAATTTAGTTAGATTCATGAATGAATAAAAACTTGCCCTAAAAAAGTATTGCAAGAGGTAAATGGAATTGATTGTCAACAGTTAGACAACTTCATCGGGAGTTTGTGCGAGCAGGAGCTGATGTTATTCAGGCCTTTACCTTCTCAATGGATGATGATATGGGCAGCTCTGAAGCTAAACATGGGGTTCGTAGATTGTTATTAAATATTTATCAATTTGCATTCATATGAATATATGAAGCCCTTTCTTGAAACAGTTGGTTTTAAGAGGTCAATAATATTTTTTTGTCAGATTTTCCTGTTACAGTTTGGTTGTTGTTAAAATGAAATGTCAAAAACATGTTAAAATCCCTAAAATTATATCTTGGTAAAGCAAACCCTAGGGTACAATAACAAATGTCTTGTAAGGGCCTAGACCTAACAGCGTATGTTTGTGATGAATTTGATTGGTTTGCAAAGTCACTTGACTTATCATTACATTTTTAATGTTCTCTATAATTTTCTTAGGGCATGGCTGTTCTTGTACCTTGAAATATCCATTGATTCATATAGCATACAGAATAAAGCCATGAAAATTGCTTAAAATTTCCTTTTAAGTTAGATTATAATATGTTGATATCCCCCTGTGAATTGTACCTCAAACAAAACATTTGAGAACTTTATAGTTAACCCAAAGCTAAAAAAAGCTAATTCAGGTAGTCTTCAGTCATGGGTATTTTGGTAAGGACTGCAGATGCACCAAACTTCTATGGCTGAGGGATGAGCCTAATAGGTAAAGATCACCTTGATATATAGAAACAACATGAATTGATGTGTTGTGCAATTTGGTTTTATTCTGTTTGTGTGTTTTTTGTTCATTTTCTTGTTTGAATATCCAGTGGGGAGTTTGAGGAAATGGTTACTTTCTTGTCTCCTTGTCTGATAGAACAATCATACTTTGCCAGCATAGAAATAGTTCAGCCAATTTGCTGAATCCTAAGAAAAATCTTACATTTTGTATATGAAATTAATTTAATTGTACAACAGAAGGCATGAAAAAATGAGTATACACCCTGCAGTGAAGTAGAGTCCAGTTCTTGAAGGAGTATAGATTCTCCTGGTTGCTTTATAGTTCTGAAATCAGGATATCAAAATAAAAGCTCTTGGCTTATGGGTAACTGGCTTGTAACAACCCGTTGATAAGCACCACCACCAAAGATGCACCACCCCAAAACAAGTTCAATTCCAAAAAAGCACCTCCCCAAATATGTACCTCCCAAGTAAGCCCCATCCCCAAAATAGTTTTTGGGGATGGGGAGGTGGTATTAATTTGGTAATCAGGGACTTTGGAGGTAATGTTAATTTTGTAATCTGGGCGATTGATAGCGGTATTCTGAGAGCAGAGTATAGTGCCTAAAATAGAGTGTGATCAAACCTAACATGCTTTTTTAAGTTGACAAGAAACCATAACACACTTTGCTCCTGAGGAATTTTTCAAAATTAATGTTAATTCATAGTAATTTTAAGAATAATGATAACTAATAATTTAAAGGATACACGTTCAGTTTTTATATACTTGGAATCTTTCTTAGGCCATAAAAATAAACCAGGCAGCATGTGACCTTGCCAAAAGTGTCGCTCAGGAGGGAGGAGTATTTTTCGCTGGATCCGTCTGTCAGACAGCTTCTCTGTATTCACAAGGTGCTGGAAAAGAAATTGTAACGAAGAAGTTTAGGGAGCAAATTCAGATATTCATTCAGAACGATGTTGATCTAATTATAGCTGAGGTAATTTTATTTTGAAATGTACTTGTTTGAGTTAATTTTTACTGAAATCTGCATAATGAAGCTGAACACTATGGTTATTCGTTGTTAATGTTAGCGTTTTTACAGCAGATTTCTATAGCTTGTTACTACAGCGCCTGGTCAAATTTAAGTTAATCAGTTTGACTGAATGAAGACACGGGACGTTTTTCGCAGAAGGAAGGGCACCTTTCACTGGGGAGTAAAATACTATCGCACTTTTCCCGTTATACCCCCCCTTCCTTCTAATGTTACGATAAGGTTATGTAATCTCGGAAAAGTCCCTTTTGCTCTTATTAGATATTTTACCGAGATACTTGCAACCCATTTTATGATACTCACACCAAAGAAAATAATGTCAGAATTGAACCCTTGAAATGTACTGCATCCTTAGAAACTCGTGTCTCATGGGTGTTTATTGGTCGAATGTTTCTCCGACAGTTCTTTGCGAACGTAGAAGAGGCTGAGTGGGCAGTAGAAGTAATGAAGTCCACAGGGAAACCAACAGCAGTAACCTTATGCATTGGACCTGATGGCGACAGTTGTGATGTTCCTCCGGGAGAATGTGCTGTTAGACTCGCGAGGGCAGGTACAGAGAGCCAACTATAAAGGTCGACTAAGGAAGTCGGAGTAGTTTGCTACCCATGTTGAACTTTTCCACCAGCGCAGCAGTAGCTTTGAAATTAGTCGATGTTGCTCTCTTCCAGGCTGAATTTAAATAAGGTACCAAAAATGCGTTTTCCTTAGCTTATGTTTCTGACCAAAAAAGATTGGAAAATGAAGAAATTTTTAAGAGATAATCACAAACAAAGAAAGCAGTAGGGAAGAGGAGAGTCTAGGAGAAAACGCTTCCTTAATCAGTTTTGACCCCAGAGAGTAGATTGCTAAGCCGCATGCATATACACTACTCTTACATTAGGCCTTGTGGTTTCAGGGGCTGATATAATTGGAGTCAACTGTCGCTTTGACTCAAACATCACTTTAATGACCATTGGTTTAATGAAAGACGCGTTGGATAAAGAAGGCCTCAAGCCTCATCTAATGGCTCAACCAGCTGGTTACCATACCCCTGATGCTGACCGTATGGGATCTGCTCATCTGCCAGAGTCACCGTTTGGTGAGTAGTAAGCATATGTCAAGATCTAGGTAAATAACATTTTGGCCTTTTTAAATTTGGTGACTGCGTGTTAGAACATAACTTTGACACAACGTGTGCTCTGATTTGTCAAAATCTCGTATATTTGGTTGTATACCCATAGAAAACTGAAACATCTTCCCACCCTATCAAATGGCGCCACACGGGGCGAATTCCCAGATTTTTATTTGTTAATGCCAATGTTTGGAGGAAACGAAGAGTACACTTTGCACGCCGAAACCAAAGATTTTATGTTTATAACATTGTCAAATTTCTTATTTAAAATGCAGTCCAACTAACTGGTTGCTTCGGTTTAATTCTCCGCTAAAGTTCCCCAAACTGCTCGCTGAGAAGGAAAAGTTGACAAGTTTTTGCATCAAGAAAATTGTTGTGAAAACTCACTGGATCTTCATTTAGATATTTACCTGAGAACAAAAGCCACTTACAAAGTGATGAGGCACCCAAGATTTATAGCAATTCAATTTGCTATCCTTGATTTCGGCTTTTATTTGATACTTTTTGCCTAGTTCATGCGTTTTGATCACTTTCTGTAAATTTTAACGAGGACTTCATGAAAGCTTTAATTCAAGCTAGGCAATAGGAAAAAATTTGGTTGAAGGAAAATAGTGAACCGCGAGTAAACAAAATAGTTGGACGGTGTTTTATCGGTGCACACGGCTCGATGTTGTTGTCTTTCGATTTTGCCGTTTTTGTCGTGCAATAATGTTATTAACGAATTTAATATAGAGTTCTCACAATCGTAATATATTCCAGTTGTTAAAATTTCTACAAATGACCTTTATTTTGCTGAAATGGCTCCCGAGAATATTAAAACTGCTTAATAAGTTTGCCAACTTAAAAAACTTTCCGTACAGATTATCAGATCGCAATCGCAGAGGTAGGCTTATTTTGGCCTCAAAAATCGCGTTTTCTCCGTCCAAATTGAAATATTCTTTAGTAGCACTTTGTAATTGTGCTTCGTCTTGCATTTTGCTATTTCTCGTAAGTTTTCTTTAAAATTTCTGTTTTCATTCAGCGACAACTTAATTACAGTCTTCGCTCTTCTGGCCGGCAGTTCATTCAGTTTCCGGAGCTTTGGTTGGTTTATCGCACTTTTTGATGGGTTTGAGAATCAACGACTTGATCAAAGGCTTGATCACGAAATAAGATAAAATTTATGATTCTTTCTCACAAACTTAGCTCATATTTATGTCGAAAAGTTTATAAACCACTTGGCTGCGCCTCGTGTTCTCCCAACATTTCGCGTGGTTTATTAGCCGGTAAACCGATGGAAAGTCTGGTTTATTGTTTAATTATGTTAACGGAGAGGAAGGTTATTTCTATGGACTTTTCATAGCTTGAACTTTGAAGGTGTTTTCACATGATACTTTCTCAGTATCAAAAAGCGAAATAGGAAAGATGCATAGTCCTTTGAGTCAAATTTTGGGCTGGATATATTTTTATACGGACGTTTTTTACTCATCGTTGGGGTTCTAGTTACCTTAATTCTTTAACTTCATTATTACTTATTTATTTTCACGGAAGAGGGCCTTCATCCTTTGTTAACTCGTGAGCCGATGACATGGAACAGGTAACTAACTCGTTCTACCTTTCAGCTTTGGAAGCTCGAGTTGTAACTCGCTGGGATGTACATAAATACGCTCGGCAGGCCTATGACATGGGAGTGAGATTCATTGGTGGCTGTTGTGGTTTTGAGCCCTATCATATCCGGGCTATTGCGGAAGAGGTAGGGAAAATAGTTTTTTATTAAATTATTTATATGAGTGTTTGGGAACGTATCTAAGATTAATCTCCATTTGCAGTCTATCTGGTTTGTCGCACGTCGAGCTCTTCACTTGGCGGAGGGAACTTGTCTCGTTACGACCCTAAACAGGAGCTGCGACGAGGACCAAATTGATTGAGATTATCATGACTTTCGAACTCCATTAAACCAAGCGTGGAAAAAGTAACTGGGTCAAGAATTTTCCTTTAACCTGATAAGTTGAACGCGATTAAACTGACTTTGAGGCCCAATGGAGCCTTCGCACCATGACGTGTCATCTTAGTTGTCCAACTTCCGAAAGGGAATCTCGCCGCCACGTCATCCCACAAATCAGTGTTCTTAAGAAAAAAATATCCTTTCATCTTACATAATTATTCCTGTAACAAGTGCATGATGATGATTTTAGCAACACTTTGACGGAGCGCTCCTTCTTTGCTTTTGCTTTAGTTGGCTCCTGAAAGAGGCAAGTTACCAGCCGCAAGCGACAAGCACAGTCCTTGGGGAGAGGCTCTTAAACACCACTCACAACCAGAGATTCGAGCGAGGTAATTGCGTGGGTGACAGGGTTGGGTTAGGGAGAGGGGGTGGGGTAAGTCTTCGAGGGAAACGAACAGTTAAGCTGCTTCGGCATACAAGTGCAACAATTAACGGATTGTCGTCATGGAATAGATAAAGTTAGATAGCTCGCCTAAGCGAATTTTGACTCAAGCACAAGTCCTTCGTCCGAAAAGTGGAGGATGTGAGTTATTTCTGCTTGTTTTGTTGATTGGAGGGGGAAGGTATGCTATTAAAGTAAGCATGGTAACAGATGATGTTCTTTCATTTTGAATTTTTAATTATAACTATCTTGACATCTTTATTACTCTAGAGCCAGTAGAGCCTACTGGGAAAACTTAAAACCAGCCAGCGGTCGGCCGAATTGCCCGGCATTGAGTGGACCTGGAAGACTGGGTTTATTTCAGTGAGAATGTATGGTTAATGATAAAAACGTTACAAAGAAAAAAAAAATGGAAATCGTATTTTACTTGTTGGTTAACCAATCGTTTAGTATCAAGGTTAAACAGGTGTGGTCATTACCAAGGCGACAAAGGTTAATTGTATAAAATACCAAATGCTTGCGCTTTGACAGATCAGTACTCCATACTATCATGGTTTACATAAAGGTGCAAAACGTGAAACACGACGCACTTGAAAGTGGATCGACATAACGTAATACGTTAAGGGGGAATAAGCTAAAATGAACGCAATTGTTATCTTATCTTAGTTGTCAAGCTAAGTGAAGAGACATCGAGGTCAGATATTAATGTATGATCTTATTTGTGAGGTCGCAACAAAAGGACGTCGTTTTGTATGAATAAGAATGAATGCATACATTTTTTAAGCCCAACACCTCAACTAGCTGATTGATGTTTTAAGCACTATTTTTTAAAATTATTGCACCAATTAAAAGTGTGGACTACCATGTCGATGGTTTCTTATCTCTTTTCTCTTCTTACAGCTGATTCCGAGCTTAAGCCAGCTTCAAACAGTGCCCGTGAAGTTCTGAAAGTAACCAGCTTCGCTAATTTCAGTTTAAGCAGCCTCTCCTATCGCTTCTTTTGAGTGGTTACTACGCTTTGGAATAACAATTCTTTAAACCATGGACATCCGGTTGCTTAAATTCCCTTTGCTTTTTAGTTAACCGTGAGAATGTTTCGCTTCGTTAGGGGACATTTGTGGTTGTTTCTTTGTGGGGATCGTTCTAGGGACAGGATGAAGGGCGGGCTTATGGTGAATAACTGATGGTTTTTTTAATTATTTTTTTTAATTATTTTTTTTATTATTTACTTCACTGACTTAAAAGAGAAGAGAAAGGTAAAACTGTACTTTTATGCCCAATTGACGAATTTCGGTTTCTCAAGTTTTCTCAATTTGTCAGCTGGGAGTGCTGCGTGAAAAGAGAACTGAGAAAAATATAGAGAAACTTGCTCTTCCTCGTGATCAGCAAGCCCGGTAGATCACAAGTCACAAATATATTTTTCTGTACCAATAATCGTGTTTTAAACTTTACAACATGACTTGCGGACAAACCAACGACATAAAGTTTGAAAGTTTTTATAAATCACATTGTCGTTACATTACAGTTTAAAATGTAGAATTGCAGACTAGAAGAATATTGAAAAGCATTTGAACAACTAATTGGTTGCTACTGTTCGAAAATGTCTTTAGCTGGAAAGTATTCAGGTATTTTTTTTTAAACTAACTACAATATGCTTATTACATCTAAATAATCTTGTTCTTTGACTTGATTACGCATGCTTTACCATGGCATCTGCAAAATAGAAATCGCAAAGAGTATAGTTTGTAAGATTGCCTCAATTATCAGAAGAGGGTTCGAAGCAAATAGTTGCAAAGCTAAATGTAAATGGGGAGACGGGGAATTGGATCTTAAGTTTCACGCACGAAACTGATCGACAGTTTTTTTTTTAAAAAAAGGGAGAGTTAGAGAAAGTTTTGTTTGTTTGGCTCACCTTCCTCTCTCTTGCGAAAGGTAATTAGCAATATTGGAAATAAAATGAAAATGCTTTTAATTAAGAAAAATTCGAATAAAAGATATTTACGAAATAAAACAAACGGAATCTTCTGTTTCTGTTTGTAAGGCAGAAATTTTTAGCGGCCAACGTACTTATAAACTATACGCTCATATGTAAAGAAACTGTACGCTTGCTATGTGATTGGTCGCTATTGATAATCTAATGGAACACAGACAGACAACTGACTTGATCACGAAAACCTTTTTGCTTGGTCTTCTTTTGGTGATGGTTTGTAGATTATCTCGCGTGTGAGCAGACAAAATTGTCGAGAAATGAGCACTTCATGACCACAATGATAACAGTTAAGGAACTTAAACTAGAACAAATCTTCGAAAGCTTGAGATTGAAGTTATTGTTTATCTCTATTTAGTCTTTAAAAAATTCATTCCATTTTAACACATTACTAGGGCATCAGTGGTGCACTAGATCACTGCACGTATGCTATTACGTTGTCTCTTTTCTAACACATTTTTACTTCTGTGATCTTTAACTCAGGCACAGACGCACGACACTTTTATTTTTTCTCAGTTTCAGTATGAATACATGATTTAAGAAGCCAAATGTTTTACTAGGAAAGACTTGCTGAACCTCAAGTTTTGCTAGATGTTAAATATTTGCTCTACGACTGTCAAATAGCAAATTTTACTCTAAACGTTGATTTTTAGCTTACATTGATACGTTGTTCGAAAACTAGCAAGGGAAACGCCAGTGCCCTATTTCTTACCTCGGTTATCCGATGGCCTTACTCTCTATAAAACTCTCGCAGTTCCTCTGTTCCGAGCCTCCAGTTGTCTCTTTGATTAAATTTTCTCCTGTTTTCTGCAAAGCTGATTTTTCTTCGGTTTTTAAACAATTCTTCAAGTTCGTTCTGTAACGGTACGAACGCTTTTTTCCCCACCCTCAAATGGCTTGATGTCTCACTTGTTAGTAAAGCGAAAACAGCGAGAAAAACCAGAAATGCAGCATTTTTCTTTGTAGAAGCCATTTATATCTCACTAGACCTTGAAATCAGAGATAAAAGGAAATAATATTTTGATTTTTGAACACAAGAAACTGATTATTTTCCAAAATTTACCTCGACAGAACACCTTGCCTTTCAGCGTTCCCTCCGATTTTCAGAAGAATTAAATCAGGTTAGCAAAGTCAGTCTGTTTTATGTCCTCAGTTGAACACGCTGATTTTCATATGCTGACCGGAAAATGCTTCTTCAATTTTCGGAGGCCGATTTTTTCTTAAACAGCTTTAATTTCTTTGTTTGTGGTCGTTCTTTCCTTTCAGACAGCTGTGCGGCGAGTATTTTTGCGTTACTAGAAGGAAGTGACTGTGTCGAAAGAAATAATATTTTTTTGTTGCAAGTTTACTGTCTTTAGACATTTTAACGTTGGTTGTGTTTGCCCTCTTTTTCGTTGTTTGTGTTTTTTTAAACTGAATAAAACTGAAAAGCTCACCTTTTTCTTAGACTCGAAAGATGGTTCCTGTCGTTATTTGTTTTATTGATATTGAAAGCTCGGAGTTAGGTTTGATTTGACTAATTTCTATGCGGAAATACGACCAAAACTAAAAACATCAGAGTTAATGTGTGTAAGTCAATGCAACGGTTATAATTATAACATTAGTGTCAGAAAATAGGATACACGAGTGCGATTCTGTTGCTGTCAAATGTTTAAGGTTCCGTAAACTTTTGATCGTTTCATGCTGTGTTATTGCTCAACATTAATTTTGCACAGTAGCCCTTTCCTCTTATCTAAATTGACGAATAAAGTAAAATATTTTTCTATCTTGTGGATTTAGCCGCACGCTCTTTTAACTTTGCGACTTAGTTAAACAAAATAAACGTTTAAAATTTACTGTTTAATGCTCATCATTTATTACTGTCAAACTTTGTTTGGGCAACAAAACGGATACGAATCAGTGAAACATATCTCAAAGCTCTCATTTAAAAACTACATTAGCAGTGTACATCTTACAGTGAAAATTATGAAGCAAAATTCAAACTAAGTCGCGAAATACGAAAGCGAGACGGTAATTAAAAAAGGTGCTTGAAAAAGAAAAGCAAGAATGTCGCTTAGATTTTGTAACCTTTTTTCATATGAAAAACTGTTTGCGAAAGAAAAGCTTCACAACTAAGAATCCCTTCTAAATTCTATGCTATTCCTGATAAAGGATAGGAAAGGAAGCCTTAACTTTTTTTTCACAATTTTAATGATGGAGGTTTCTCATGACTAAAATAAATTTAGCTTTGAGACAATCTTTAAATTTTGCGTTTTTATTTTATTTTCTTTTTCTTCGGCTTTTTCTTGAGATATTCTTTGTTACTGTGTATTATTTCCTAAGAGTTTCCGATGTGTTTTGTTGATAGACAAACGAAGCAATTGCTTGTAATGATAACTGATTGTAAGTGCACTACCGCTTAGGAAATGAAAGTTATTTATCTATCGACTCTGTGTTTACCTTAAGCACGTGCCATTTTTAATTTCCTGAGTTGTAAAAACTGGAATATTCAAGGTTTTATTAACTGTTAGATATGAAGCTACACCGCCTTTAATTAGAAACGTAAATGTAGCTGTGTGCATAGGTAAATACATAAGGAAACTCCAATTGGGTACTATTGTTATGCGGTAAAAGAAGTGCATTAAAGTCCCAGTCAAGGCTATCCGCTTTGTATACAATATAAGATAATAGCTCAGTCTAACCATGAAAAATATGAAATGAATTCACTATGACTTACTGTTTATTTTTCTTGGCTATAGAATTGTTTTTTTTGTCTTGATTACTGGTAGAGAAAAGGACATTAGGACCCTACATAACGCTCGGTTTGATTCACGCAAACAACTTAGCCGGTTTTTCTCTCGATGTGCTTACTGTTAATTTTCGGGGGCCAATTTATTCAGGGTCTTAAATTTTATTTCCTTTATTTGTAGAAACTGCGACACAACATTTTTACATATAGACCAGTCTAAAAATATAGATGACTTTCCTCTCGATTTTGTCGAGATGAATGAGAGAGTTACATGGGAAGACTTTAGATCGGAACACGCACTGTGATATCCCCGGGAAGAAAGGCAGACTGAGGCTGTCAAAACATTCAAATGAACATTTGGCGCTTTTTCGTGTCTTTTATTACACCAGAGGTAATTAAATAATATTTCAAACATTTTCCAACGATCCCATTTACCCCAAAACTTACAGCTCCTTGTAACAAAGTGAAGTGACAATTCTTGACGATTTAATCGACTGAAAAATGAGGTAAATTTTTTCTTTCTTTTATTACTGTTTTTTTTTTCTTTTTTTCAAAGTGGGAGGCATTACATTCCGTCCATCAGATTTTTAATTCACTCTTTTAAAAAGGATGTCTTTCTTTTCGGTACTAATTTGCAGAAACTGAATTAAAGTACCGGATATTTTTTGGGAACACTAGTATATTTAGTAAACTTAAAACTAGAACATCTTAATAGAAGCTTTTGAATTTACTTCTCAATAAGAAGTCCTCTAATGTTAGAGTTTCAAAAGATGCAATCGAACCACAGTCGTCCCCAGTGGTGGATCCTGACCTTGAGCTAAGAAGGGGGGGGGGGCGTTTTTTGTCGCTTACCATGTCGGTTTTTCTTCCTTCTGCGAATTTTTTATCCAAAATAAGGAAGAGGGGGGGCCCTCCCCTAGATCTGCCACTGGTCACCTGTAATAACAGAACACAGACGTACTAAATAGAATATAGGTGAGATTAACATCATCCTATACTTGTTTATCGTAATCCTGCAGCTAGATGATTTACAGTTAACTTGAAAGAGACTTTGCACTTTTCTTCTTTATCAATACACATGTTTTAAGGTTAGTTTTATTTGTATTTTGTATAGTCTACTGAGCCACTAACTGACAAAGTTAAA